TTTCAAAGATTTGGCTGCATTGGGGAAAAGCCTTTTATTTCCTTTTTTTTTTTTTTTTAAATAATAGAAACAATTAAAAGTGGCCTAGCTGGGGGAAAGACATGAATAGATTTGTGCTTTATAGAAAGCACTGTAGCTATGGAGCAAAATTTGAGCCAGAGAGATAGAAATTGAGGCAGTGAGACAGGAAATTATTGCAAGTTTTGAAGAGGGGTATGAGGCCAGAGTTAGGCAGAGAGGTCTTTAGAGTGGGAATATGGAATAGTCCCTCTGAATTGCCAAGCTAAAGTTCTAGGAAGTTTTGGATTGTTCATGAGAGTTGAAGAATGTTGGGGACTACAAAATCAAAGGGAGATAATAGCATTTCTTATATACATAAGGGAAAACCAGATAGGAAAATGAGGACAGGAAGGGAATCTGCCTTCGCTGTGGTACTGTAGGTGCATGTTAAAATATAGAAATGTCATAACAGAAGTTGAGTAGATGGTTGGTAGCCATTATGAAAGGTCCGGGGTGGTTGTCAATGATATTGAAGTGCTATTACAAAGCTGTAAAACCAAGTCTTTGTAGAACTATGAAAGGAGAATGGAGGAAATAGCACACTACTTTGAGGCAACCTAAATGAAATGGACAGAAAGAAAAGGATGAGAGGAGTAATGAACTTCCTTTTTTTTTTTTTTTTTTAAGAATTAGGGAAGACACACGGACAAATTGCCATGAAAATTAAATGAAGAGAAAATTATTCTTGCTAGGAGATCTGGAAAGAGAAAAGGTGAAGAGCTTTGGCAAATAGAAGACCGTCCATAACTTTAAAAAAAATGATAGAGTTTTGGAAGTGAAGGGCTGAATGCTAAAATGTGAGGTGCACCATTTAGGATTTTGATAGTGATTTAAGAATATTTTTTACAGATTGTTGAACACTAAAGTGTTGAAGAATGCTTGGCTAGTGGATGAGAGAAATCCAGAATTAGAGTGAATCTGGTTGCTGTTTGATTGCTTCTTTAGCTCTGTTGTTTAAAGGGTATTAATATTTGTGGATGAAAGTAAGAGAATACAAAAACAGGAATGGAAACTCAAATGTACTAAATATTAAACATGTTTTATGGGTTAGGCATACTCTGCTATAGACTATCCTATCTGACTCTACTATAAACTATCCTATCTGAATCCTGATAGTATCCAGAGGAATTCAGCACATTTTACAGTTGACAATGATGTTCAGAAATGTTAACTCACTCTCCCAAGGTGATGTAGCTAATATTTATCACAGCTATCATTGCATTAGGTCAGTATTCAACTTTTCCTTTTATTCATTCAATCCACTAATGCTCAGAGTACTGGTTATGGCAGTACTAGACACTTTAGGTAAAGTCATTATGAGAAACCATATTTACCTCATAGTAATTATGTGGTGTGGTCAAAATATATGATGAATATTTAAATTAATAAAATTGTTACAGTAAAAGACACAGTCGTTAACCTCCCTCAAAATACACCCTCTGGCTTTGAACACATCCATCATTCATGCCACTTTCTAAAGCAGTTCTGTAAGTCCTCTTTCATCAATATGCTTACAAGGTGTCTCAGTTACTTTTGCATTGCTGAGACAAAATATGTGATGCCTACAATTTAAAGAAGGTAAAGGTTTATTTCGGCTCACAGTTTGTAGAGATTCCAGTCCATACTTTGGATGGCAGTGTGGCATGGCAGATAGGCATGGCAGACGATAATCACACATGGCATGGTAGACAGGAAACAGAAAGGGAGATGAAGGGGGCAGTGAGGGAGATACATCTTTCCAGGCCAGGTCCCTGGTGACCCACCTCCTCCAACCAGGCTTCACCTCCCAACGTCATGTTTAGCTATAAACTCATCAGTATTAATTCACTGATGAGTATCACATCCACATCGCCTCTCCAAAGCCCCATCTATTAGCGCATGAGGCTGTGGGGTGACATCTAGATATAAACCATAACATGATGTGTGATCAAAATTACAGTAAATGCTATTACCAAGTGCCATCCAATGGAAAATTAGGTTCGTAAAAACATTATGTTGTATCCTCATCCACCTTATTCAACAAAACTGTACATATTTTGAATCAATTCAGGAAAACAAGGCAGGCACAATAGTGCAACTAAAGACCCTTGTAAGAAAATGGATGGATCTGGAGAATATAATAGTAAGTGAAGTAAGTCAGAGCAAAATAAGGTGAGATAGTTGAAAACAAGGAGATAGACTTTTTGGAGATAGGAAGGGGATCTGAAGAAGAGGGGAATGGGGAGGAGTAAAAGATGTGATATGTATATGCATCAATTCCCCCAAATGAATGTAATTATACACTGCAAACATATAAAATAAAAAAGAGGACATTCAGAACTGCTTCAGAAAGTGGCAAATCTATGAGATAATTTTGATGGGTTGTGTTCAAAGCAAGGGGGAATATTTTGAGGGAAATTGATGGCAATGTGTCTTTTACTCTAATAAATTTTTCTTTAAGCAATAACAATCACACCTTGTACAGTCTTGAACGGCAGTCAGAGTTTAAATGGGGAAAGCTACTTCTTGAGTTCATGGAGGTAAGTGAATCATAAGACAGGTTAAACCTGAAGATACATGATCAAAATATGGCTTTGGAAGATAATACTTTCAAAGAACTGCCTTTCTAAAAGAAATGTTATTTCTAGCTTAGACTTTGCAGCCTCAGAACTTGAGACATGGTCCATCTTCCTTCACCTTCAGGGTCAGGTGTTTTTCTCTGAACTTCTCTCCTTCACTTTCCCTCCCCCTGTCCTGTGTATCTCTGTGCACTGGTGCCTTTGTGGTTATTATCCCTTTTACCTGAGATGCCTTCTGCCTACAGTTCAATCTGGAAATCTGCACCCATCCCTTCGGCCTCAACTCTCACATCCTCTGAGATCATCCCTGACAGCACCAGAAAAATGTCTATGCCCACTATTTCTGCTATGCAGAGCAGCTTGAACATTCCCCCTGATAGGATCTTTATATTTCTCTGCTCAGCTAGACTCCCAAAGTCAGGAACTGCACATTCCTATCTGCATCACAATGCCTGACACACAAGAGGCAGTGGGAAATATGTCTAGAATACATGCCTGGATATATAGATAAAGGAGCACATCTTTTTAATATCCATAGAGGTGCAAATCTTTGCTGGGTAGCATTGTGGCAATGTTTTTCCATGTGTCATGACCACATTTGTTTTGCATTTTAGTCCATTACCATAATAATAATTCTCCATTTGCAGCTTATGCATTTGAAAATAAATTGCCTTGCCTGGGAAATAGGAGAAAGAAATACTATTAAGTGACCATAATTGTTACTGCTTTAACAGTCACCTTTATATTATGAAATTTGAACAGAAAAAGTTCTTCCAAAGAACTGAAATGCTTAGTTCATTATTGAGTATGCTTTCTTGGTGGAATGATATTTTTATAGAAAATATTTTCCTATTCCTCTCAACTTTATTTTTTGAAAGAGTGTGACTATATCATGAAGTGGGCTTTATAAAGGAGAAGGCAAGTCAAATGTCAAATATTATCTCAGGTCTGGAAATAAAACTGTGCAAAAATTGGAGTAATTACAACAGGTATAAGAGAGGGACAGGTGAGTTATTTCTCTCTTGTACCCATCAGTGTATAAAATCAGCCCCATATGTTTAGAATGTCATCCTTTTCTTAAAACAATTTGATAAATGCCCGTTCTACCTATTCCTTAAGACACAGCCATTACACAAAACTTCCCTTATATTCTCTCCACAACACTTCTGTTATTTTCGCACCCATCTCATTTTAATCACTTACAAATCTATAATTTATATTAACTGATGAGCCTCTCAAAGTTAGAGACATTGCCTTATTCATCTTACATCCTCTAGTGCCTGATACATTGCCTTTTCCACAGAAAGTTCAGAATAAGTGTTAAAGTGACATATCCCAAACACGCTTTTAACAATTGGAAGTAACTCAGTTGTCATAAGGGTTTAGACCTTGTACTGGATTTTATCGTTGGCTGGTTGTCAGGAAACGTTATATAACAAATTTAAAATTCTTTTTGAATATAAGCCATACCATATTCATATTCCTACTACTCTGTTTCACTTGGTGAGTGAATTGTATTTTCACCCAATGCATATCAGCAAAGATGGAAATATTTCTTTTTCTTCTTTTTTAGTATTTAAGAACTATTGTGTTTTTAATGAAGTTCCTAATGTGCTGGGGATTTTATATAAATTATCTCTAGTGTTTATAGCAGCACTGCAAAGCAAGTATTCTTATGACTATTGCAGAGAATAAGAGATCATGGCTAAGAGCAGTTAAATGCTTTCAAACTCCGGAAGATCCGTATCAAAATCAGGTGTGAGAAGGGATAAAAATAAAAATGTCAACAATTGGTTTGGTATAAGTACCAACCAATTATGAATGAACACTGGCCATATCATAGTCCTGGGCTTAATTCTATGTTAAGGGGAGGTTTAAGATGTGGTGAATAGGATATGCAGGCAAGAGGGTAGCACAGGTCACCCAGGGGTTTTGGACCAGGAGTTATTTACCAACTTGGAGGAACATGCTTTAATATCTTAGCTATATAAACAGGTTGGTTAAATATCAATTATGATTAAAAGAAAAAATACCATGAATAATTTTTGTGTAATATAGAGAGGGAAGATTTCTTTCCTCATCTATCACAAGGTTTATGGCTGAGGCACCTATAAAAAAGACACTAGAAAAATGCAAACTTATTTAGTATGGTTTATACATGGCATGGAAGCCTTAAGAAATAAAGACCAAAGAAACATGAAAATAAGAATATTTTGGGGCTAACTTTAATAAAAAGTATATGTAGAAGTATGACTGGGAGATAAAATAGTATGATCAGCAATAAGTGAGAGAGGACTTGGTAAGATTTTTTTTTTTAAGTTTTGCTTTTTTTTTTTTTTGTATTTTTGTGTCTTTAAAGACAAGGATGTTCCTTTCTTGTAGGCATAGGAAAGATACTTCTGGAATGAAGGATTTTTTTTCTGAGAAAGATCAGCCCTGCTTCAGAGGAAAAGGTGAGATTGCTGCTATTTCCTCAAATGCCAGGTTACTGTATTTTTCAGTAATGTGTCTGGAACACCTAGCTGTAATTAGGCTACCCCAGCTATTTGAAAGCAGTATTTGAATTTCAACATACCTTTCAAGATTCTTTATTCTCTGTGCTTCATTAGTAGAAAATAACAGAAAATAGCAAAAATTTGATATATTCTAAAAGATCTCTTTAAATCAAAAGTTTATATAATAGTAAGAAAAATCTGTTAATTTAGAAAACTTGAGGAAAATTCTGGCAACCTGTGACCTGAATTGGTATGAGATTGTCCCTTGGTTGTTAAACCAAGGAGGAGAAGATTACTTTAAAAATTTCTTCATATACAAATCCATACCTGAACTATAGTGTAAAATGTATCCCTTAGGGAACCCAGAAATTCCAGGCTATTAACTATATAAGGGAAAATAATCAGAAAACAATTGGTTTTCCTGAATAATTTCTATTGGCATATGGCATGTCTTGTTTTTACTAGAATCTATTCTAATATTTCAGTGGAAGAACTCTGGATGGAAATTAGAAGCCCTATGATCTCATTGCTGGTGTAGTTCAATGGTATTCCTTTCTGATGGATAATTTCCTTATGTGGCCCTTAGATTTCTTTTTGAAAGAACTGATAAGGCAATCTCATATCCTTTTCTGGGTAAAACATGCTGGTCCTTCTGGATTTTTGAATTTTGATCTTTTTATTCCAGGAGACTATATCTCTCACTAGCCATACATTCCCTCCTAGTGCTGCCTTCACATCTATAATTAAGAAGTATTGCAGTGGAGGAGTCAGAGCCTTCCAATGAAAGTCACACAACCTACAATTGAGTTTCATCTTTATACAACATTAAATGTGTAAATTAGGAAGCTGTATTACTAAATCAGCTATGGAGGAGAGCATTTTCAATAGCCAATGCCAGTGTGCAGGAAATTCTAAGATTATGTTTTCTTTGGCTAAAACAAGAGGATATACTCCAACATCATAACCTTGTCAGAGTGTTTCTTCAGGACTAGCTCGGTGCTAGACTGTGGGGAAGAATAAGATCCTCACAAGTCCTCAGGTTGCTTACTATCTGATGAGACATGAGAAATAAAGTTAACATTACATTTCAGAGTGATAATTCTTAGAAGAATTTTATGTACATAATCTTTTGGGATTATATGAGTAATTAAGGCCTCTAAAAACCAGGTATCCGAAGACAGTGGGTGTTATGGTTTAGATACAAAATGTACCTCAAATGTTTCATATTAAGTTGTGAGGCTTGGTCAGCACAAGTGGACCAAAGGGAAAAATGACTTGTAAGAGTGTATGGTACTCCGCTCCTGGCTGCTCCATTCTCTCTGTGCTTGAATGTGCTAAGCAGCTTTCTTCTACCATGTTCTTCTGCCACTTTGCTTCTGCCTCGGAGCCAGCCAAATTTGGACTGAACCCGCTGGAATAGTAAAGCCAAAAATCTAGTCCTTTTTAAAGCTGTAGGTATCAGGGTTTTGTCCCAATCATAAGTATGTGACTAAGACAATGAGATAAGAAAGTTTCTAGTGAAATGTTATGCAGTCTAAAAGGAGGAAGAGAAGTTAGCTGGGTAGAGAAGGAAAATACCATTCTATGAAAAGGGAACAGACAAAACATTGGAAGTGAAACAATTTCAAGTTCAGGAGACATCACAAATTTGGAATGGCAGAATCCCGAAATGTCTCAGGATGGCAATATGACAGAAAATAAAGTTAGATATAAATGGACTTTTAAACCCTTTTTAATGCCAGAGATATTGGGCTCTATCTTGTTGATAATAAGAAAATATTTAAAACATTTAAGCAGAAAGATACCATGACCTAATGTTTCAAAACACAAACTACAAAGGAAGAAACTAGTGTGTCTATACCTGAAAGGTTTTTTTCGCCCATTGTGAGATAGAAGGAATGATTTATGGTCCTGTATGGATACCTATTATTCTTGTATTTTAAAACATATATGTGTGTGTGTGTGTATATATATATATATATATATATATATATATATATATATATATATATGAAAAAGTTATTTTAATTACTTTTAGGAATGGAAAGGAATTACACAAATTTCCCAAGGCTTAAACAGTAGAAACTCATTTTCTCTCAGTTCTAGATTCTAGAAGTCTGAGATCAGTAGTTTCATTTCTTCTGAGCCCTTTCTCCTTAACTTCCAGATGGCCTTCTTCTGACTGTGTCCACTGGGTGGCTCTTCCATTTATATTTTCAATATACACTCTTCTTAAAAGGTCACCAGCCATACTGGATTAAGGCCCACCCAATGACCCATCATATTTTCAATAGCCCTATCTCAAATATAGTCATGTTCATAGAAGCTGGCTATTAAAACATCAACATATGTATCCACAGGAGGCAATTCAATCCTAAACAATTTCCTTCTGAGTGCTCATTTTCTGGGATAGTATAAAGCTTTTCTGGGGATGACTGATGATAGGAATATCCCTACATTTCAGGTGTCACCTCATTCTTATGTACAGTAGTGGCCTATAGCCTTGTAGTAACAATTTTTAAGCCACAGAATAGTGAGAAATTAGTATGTTGTGAAAGGCTCCCTTGTCCATTCTTCTATGACACTGCATTCTGCTATGAATTATCTGTTTAATTGTACTACATGCTATTTAGGCTTGTTTCTTCTTAGTTTGTCTATTTTAAAAATTTATAACATCTCCAGATCATGTCTTTATGGTTGCATTTATCATGTAGTACTGCAATTATCTGCTAATTTGCCTATTTTCCCAATTAGACCATAAATCCCTTTGGTGACTTAAGGTTGTATTAGTTGTGGAGCACTTATTGCATTGCCAAACACATAATAGGTACATAATAGGTGATTGACAAGATGATAAAATTACATTCAGATTTAATGCTTAATACAAGAAGTATGTATTGAATATCAAGTCATTGGAAGCCAGCATGATAGTGAAAGGTTAAAAAAAAGTCACTTATTCTTTGTCTGGCTTTCATTCTCATAGCATTCAGTTAGGCAAATACCAAAACAAGGAGCAAGTGTTTTTCTTTTTCTTTTCTTTCTTTTTTTTTTTCCAGTACAGAGAATAAATCTCAGTGCTTTACATTAGCTAAGCAAGTGCTTTACTACTGAGCTAAATCTCAAGCCCTATCTTTTTTGTTTGTTTATCTGTCTTTCCTCAGGAGTTAGACTTGTCACATGTATTACACATGTATTATAGTTTCAGTGGTAAAATTTGCAGAGGTACAAAATTATAACCAGGAGACTGACAACTTTTTCTAATTCAACCACAAATTTCTTCAAATTTAAGTCTCTACCTCTATTAATCTAAGGTGGCTAAGATAGGACATTCTGTTTATACTGAAAAATTAGCATTATTGTGAGATGAAGTTCTTGATCAATTTCATCTGTATAACTTTGTTGAGGGTTATAATAGACAGTGGCTCCTGCAGGAGTACATGGGATTTGTTATTTTTGAACAGAAGTCATTTTACAACTTTAGTTCCATCATTTGTTTCATATATGAGTGACTTATAATGACTCGTTTTGGTGTTCCCAAAATAAGAACAACAATAACAACAAAAAGAATGAATGAATGAAAGAATGAAAAAGGAAAACATAAAATCCTTCTGTCTTTGTTTTATGGAACAGTTCACTCCTACTATATACCAAAAAGATATCAATTTAAGTTGCAGTCATAAATTTTATTGTGTAGTGTTGTATAAGTTGCCTATAATTATTAAGAAAAAGCAGTCTAACCCAAACTGAGAGATGTCCTTCATCAGGTCCTCTTAGCCTGGCCTGGGTTCCCTAAGGTAACTAGGCCTCTATGGTAAAGCTGGAGGCCTCTGGCCTGAAATGCTCTCACGCTCTGTGAAACATCATAGTGTCAGAGGAAGAGCATGAGTCCTAAGGATGCAGAAACAAGATTCCAACTTTGTGAATAGAAAGAGAACTAACAGTAATCACATTCTGAGAGTGTGATATGAGACTTTTTGCAAAAAAGCACATGAACAACTTAAAATGTCTTAAACAAATTAGGACAGCTGGCATGTTCATCCCACACTAATTTTGTCCTCTATTAAGCAGGTACATCTAAAAAAAGTTCATGTTATAAATTACTTCCTGTGATATATATCTGAAGAATTTTAAAGATATTGTTAACTGTATTTGGAAATAATTTTAAGCTTTCTGAAAAGGTAAAGAAAAGGATGACAAAGCACTCAATACTCTTTATTAATTTTACTTTACTTGATTCACAATTCCTGCACATTTTTTAGATATTTAATAATAAATTATAAAAATTATGGACCTTTAAACTAGTGATATCAATAAGTTCTTCCTAAGAATGGTCATATTCTCTTAGATAATTACAATACAGTTTTAAATTTCAGTGAATTTAATATTGAACCACTCTATATTTAATGTATTATCTATTCTGTCAAGTGTCCCAAATATGACCTTAATAATATTTTTCCCCAGTAATATTCAGTTTTGAGTTAAGTGTTACATTTAGCTATCATGTCTCTTTAGCTTCTTTAGCATTTAGATCTAAAATGTCTCTGAAAAGTCCTATGTACAGAGGTGGAGCTTTTGGAAGGTGATTGGATCATGAAAGTGTTACACTCATCAGTGGGTTAATTCATATTAATTTATTTCAAAGTAATTAGTTAATTGTATTAATTAAGCCACATTATTAATCATATTAATTAAATTACATTTATAGCTGAATATGCTGTTAGGAGGTAGGGCCTGGTTGAAGGTAGGTCACTGGTGGCAAGATCTTAAAGGGTGTATTCTTGTCCATGGCTTCTCCCTTCTTCCTTCTTCTCTGCTTTCTGTCTGCTATGGATGGAGTAGCTTTTCTCTACTATGACTTTCCACCATGCTCTTTCTGCCTTGGAGCCAAACAGCCATGGCCTAAAATCACTAAAACCATGAGCAAAATTAAATGTCTCCTCCTTTAAATTGCAGGTGTT